GTGGTGTGGTGTGGTGTGGTGTGGTGTGGTGTGGTATGGTGTTATTTGGTGTGGTGTGGCATGGCTCGGTGTGGTTTGGTATGCTATGGCATGGCGTTGTGTGATGTGTTATGGATTAGTGGGGTACAGTATAACATACTAACTTAATAAAGTATAGCATATATAGTGTTGTAGTAGTAGAAAGAGTTAAGTGGATATAAGCAGAAAGTCATAACCAACCATGGGCAGGTATTATTCGTATTATTAAGTCTCACCTTGTTAAGTTCATCAAGCCGCGCACTATCAGGTTTCTTATGATGAAAGTTCGATTCGATTGACGTTTTCTTCCCAGGGAATACAAATCCATGTGGCGTTCGCCATTTCTCTATTGAATTCAAATGTTCTCTCTTTTTGACGGCGCCAGGGTCGACAGGTAGGACAATTGCCGAGTTGAATCTCGGACAGTAAGTAAAGCAGCTATCCTTTTCCTAAAATTGGTTTAAAAAAGTTGATAAGATGGTTAATAGTGTGTACTAGCTTTAGCCCCGTTAGGCTGATGAGAGTATAGGAGATATTTGGCTATAAGCCTATTCTGCTCTATTTCACACAGGATTGCCATAGAGACTGCCCTATGGAGAAATCTATAAGCAGCCATGACAACCATATCATACGACTTTGTCTCACCCTGGACATCATCTGTCTTAGTTTCTCCTTTGCCAGTTCTGTAGTATTCAAACTTTGAATGCTGTAATTGTGGGCTACTTCCATAAAGAGTTCAGATCTGTCGACTGCTATTGTCCTCGGCCTTTCTCTTTCCATAGCTTTTGTAATTTTCTTCAAAATATTCCAGAAAAAAATGTTAATACCTGACAAGAATACAAGGCACACAATTTCACTTACTTCCAAACTTACTATGTTTTCCAGCACAAAATTCTTTTCATCTGTATTCATTCGTTCCTTTAGTTTTTTCTCGTACGATAGGTTATGGGACTGCAAAGGCGTCCATGGTCTTCTAGGTTTGGTTGCTGCAAGTCCTATCAGGGCCTGACGTTGTCTTGTGGACTCTATTTCCTCTAGCTCTGCCATATCAAAATAGAGTATAAAAGTTAAGACACAGGAATATGATGCGAGGTCGAGTGCAGCGTCACAGGAGAGGACCCTCGGTACGACTTCTTCCATCGCGAGGAAAGTTACAGCTTGTAACTTTGTTGTAGCTTTGATGGACCCAAGCCAAAACACTTAATAAAAGTGATGTTTCTCTTTGTAGCAGAAATGAGCGAAACGCGCGGTTTCATGTCTTTCAAGTTCATGTCTTTGGAAACATTTAGTAGCCTGTTTCTTTAAACAGCATGTTGCAAAATACGTACCTCCAAAGTCTTCTGCGGATAGGGGCACGCCAAACTCTCGACTCATGGAGATGATCATTTCAGCACTTGGAAACAAGTCTGACTGGGTAGCCTCCCGAAGCTTGGTTACTCTGAGAATCTGAAAAAAGGAATAATAGGTAAAATATTAAGGCTTAAGTAAAGTACCTCCACCTGAGTGAAACCAAATTTTCTTGTTATTGTATGGGAATACTGCGAAAAAAGCGAAGGGTCGTCCTTCACGAATTTTCAAGATGTGATCCTATTGGAAGGCACACATGTGTAGAACAATAGAAAGCAATGACCTTTCCCCAACCCCGCCCCTAAACCTAACCAATCACAGGGGACGTTGCAAATTCGTGAAGCCTAAACCAAAGCGACGGGTCAGCTGGATTCGTCTAGACTTCGAGCAGTCCCACTTTTCTCTCTAGACTCAGTAAATACGAGTTTTTGGGATTCCTGTGGATGCGCGGTGATTGGAACCGAGTAGGCGGGGAACAGAGAGAGGAAAAGTAGCCAACTACTGGCTCCAATCCCCACGTGTCCACAGGAATCCTAAAAATTTGTCTTTACTGAGTTTAGAAGGAAAAGTTGGACAACTCGCCTTTAGTCTTTTTTGGCAGATTCGATAATGTTCTGGGTTTAAAAAAATCTCCTACCTTATCAAGTTTAGTGAGTGCCTCAAAGCACGGTTTTGGGACCAAATCTCTGACATACAAAAGTGGATTCTTTGCGATGGATTGAAGTGGTTCATGCAGACGGACTCGACACAGATCAACATCCAAAGATGCGTACAAGCGACTCGAAAATGTCATTTCTGAATTGTACAAGACGTTGAATACCTCTGGGTCTGAAACCAAACATCGGATTTATTCGTTGATCATTAAAAATCATTTAGTAAATATGATAGCATGTTTTTGATTGATAATTTTACCAATTGATTGCGCGCTAGACTAGGCCACTTCCACTAATTCTCTGTATCTTAGCAAGCATACAATCATCTGTATACAGAAAAATAGCTAACTCACCTGGTTCAAGCGGTCTGGGTAGTCCATGCCACAGTCGTTTAATTCCTTCATTAGCGATTCCTTCGAGGACAAACACATGGAACTGTCCATCCAACACCTGACAAGAATGAGTAAACATGAATTGTTTAGTTCTATACTTCCATTAGCAAGATTTTTATGACACGACTTTATTCAATAATATTAGTATTGGAATCCTCATCAAAATTGAATGAATAAAGTAGAGAGGGAAAACTAATTAGACCTTCATATAAAGGAGGCAATGAAAAAATGTTTCTAAATCATATTTACTGGTCAAAAGCCTACCTGGAATCCCGTGATAATATCAAGAGTGGTGCTCGTCCTTTGATCCCTGGTGAGAAACGGCAAATCTCAAGATTAGAATCAGACTCAAACTCTCATTTACATTTGAGCATACGGTGAACGCTTCGACAAGCATCGTTAAAGTCACATTCTTTCGTCTTCACCAAGTCATTGCTTCCCTCTTTGACCCTATGCCTTTCCCATCACCCTGTGCGGCCCTCCGCAAATTAATCGACCATATATGGTTATCGAACTCACTTGGACAGCTTGTAGGTTGATAATGCGGCTTGGATCACGTGCTGAGGGAGTGAATCTAATTCCAGTGCCTCAGCATTGATGGCGGTCACTTCGTTTTGAATTCGTCTTAAAAATTTACTGTTGGAGTACTTGAATATGTAGACAATGCGTCCAAAAGGACACTGTAAGAATAAGGCAAAAATGTATGTGAGCTTGATTATTTTTATGAAATATATTCAACGTGTTACAATAACCACAATGCAGTTTGAGCATGGTATGTCATCTACTTTGATGATACTTGTTAAAAGTAACTTCACATTTGTGAAAAAAAGTACGCACTTTGACTTTGAACTATCGATTGGAGATGAGAGAAAGTACGAAAATTATTGCATTTCATGAAACAAGCTTACACAACTGATAAAATTTGTTATAATTTCCTCAAAATATAAAGTAGTTAAAATAATATAAGGCAGATTTAAGTAAAGATCTTCAATACCTCTGTAGGAACACCAGGTTTTTCAGTAGGGAATGTATCAACTCGTTCACCAGTGGTGCTTAAAGGATACGCCAGGTTGACTTTAATCTTTAGTTCGCTTCCTGCCTCTAGATAGTTGGCTGTTGGCATGGGCTTGCTCTCTGTATAGAACGATCAAAATATCATAAGACAAGCTGTAGTTAGATAAACGGCTAACAAGGGCCAGGTGATCAAAGTGCCACAGTCGCTACAGGAATGGATCGCACTCTAAATAATATAAAAGAACTCAAGCACAATTTTTCAAGCGTTTTTAAATATTTCTCTTTCTCACCCCTTCCCTATCACCTCTTTAGCTGCTCAGCGCCGGGGAACCTAGAATGCATCCTGCTAATCTAACTGAATAAGTCTAAGAATCTGCAAACTTACGTGGCCCATCGACGTTTCCAGGACGACCAACAATGGCACCATCGGGACCTTCATGACCAAGGTTAGTGTCAGGGATTGGACAGCAGTGAATGGGTGATCGTAATTCAAGTAGTGTTTGGCCAAGTAATAAGCCGGATAAATCAAACTTTGCTATTCCATATGGATCCCAGGTTTTTTCACGTCCTTGGAATGGGTTGTGCGTAGTACGCCGTCCTAAAATTGGTGATTCGAGATGTCGATGTTAAGAGCATAGAACATATGTCATTAGCTTTAGGGCTATGCCTCTATTCATTGATAAAGTTTGATTAGCTTATATTACATTAATGTTGTTGAACCCTTATTCCCAAGGTAACGTCACTTGGCTTGAAATGGGAAAAATTTACGCACAAGTGGACTGGGTCTATTAAATGGTACATATGCGCGCGCACGCCCAAATGCTAGCGATACTAGCAACTGAAAAGGCCGTAGAAGAAAAGGCAATCTTCACACACCCATTTTAATATTCGTGGCATTTTGGGTTCTTGTCTTCTGTTAATCAAATTTCAAAAACCAAAGACCAGAGGCTTCGGGATGTCTTGGTCGCGAAATTACGAAAATGAGTGTAAGTCAAAAAAAAAAAGTTGTATTCCTTACCGGCCACTATAGCCACATTATTGATCATTTCATCCTCAGGAATCTCTCCAAAAATCGAAGGTTTTGTTTTCTGGCTTTTAATCTTACGGTCCCTGTCATGGACCTCGATCTGTAAGGGAGGTCCTTGTAGATATTCTGCTAGCAAATCTTTATTAATAGTCCCAAGGAGAACCACGCTGATGTCTGACCAGAAGATCTCACGACCATGCTCACGACCTTTACTTGTATGCTTGTTTTGGTTATAAAACTGATATTCTAGATGCACTGGTTTACACCTTGAAAACAATTAAAATAGCTATTAACATAAATACGAGACAATACTGGATGTTATAATTTAGGGGAAAATTAAAATATAGGTATTGAACTGGTAATCGGAATTTTAGAAATTATTTTTTTGTTGAACCACTAGAAACTACTAGGAACGGATGGCAGAGCGAGAACGTCTAGGATAAAAATATAGAAATATGTTTGCTGCAGTCCCTTCCCCCTCCCCACCACTTTACCCTGGCCTTAGGCTATAGACCCTTTGTAGCACGTTGGAATGCAGCTCATTTTGGAGGACATAACAATAGACTTCCAATTGTCAAGAGATTGTACTTCTTTTGTTTTGCAATTGTCCTCCAAATAAGCCTTTTCATAGTTTAAGAATCGATTCCACTGCACATGCGATTTTATCCCGAATTTCTCATCTTCTTTTGTTTAATTAAGAACAAAAGAAGGTTTAGACAAAAGAAGGTGAGAAATTCGGGATAAAATCGCATGCGCAGTGGAATCGATTCTTAAACTATGAAAAGGCTTATTGAGCTGCTTTGACGACACATGCAAGGGGTCTATTGCCTTTGTCAGCTCACATACGGGTGCCAACTTGATGACAACTTTGGTACCCTAAGATGGCGTCCAATGCAGCTACAGTATGCCGTATATCAAAAAAGAAAGAAAGAACTTTCTACATACTTTTCCTTCAACTGCTGATAGGATAACGGAGTATTTGGCATACTGCTGGCTGAATTCACTTGTATTACCATAGGATTAAGTTCTTTTCTCTGTGTTTCTGACAAAAGTTGATTATCAAGGGTCACTGAAAGCAACAAGTCTTGGATATTTCCAGATGGCTTCTCAAGGCGAGCAGTAGTGGTCTTGATTCCAGAGAAAAGCTGGGATAGCTTGACGGAGATAGTGGCTGTACCGTGGACTCGTACGTGGGCAGCGGCTGCAGCAGCTACATCTCGTTTGTTTGGGTGTTTACCGTGCAGATGTTTCTTTTGTTCTGTCGAATAAAATGATTGTCAAATTTCCCGAATCATGATCTCATGGAGATATTTTGCTTCTTATGCACATAGCAGAATAGTTCGAATTTTAAGGCAATTCTAAGATCACTCCCAGTCGGCTTTGGAAAAGACAGCGAAGGTTCATCAGAGACCGTTCTTATATTCCATTTTCCCCCATTCAAGTATAAATGACCCGACTTGGAGTATCACTACCCCGTGGTCCTCACCCCCCACTGAATAAGATGGTAGGCTATTGAGGGTTATTCTCAAGCACCTCCACGCAATAACCAGCAAATGAATAAATTATTAATTTATTTACGGCCAATATATATATTTTTGCAATTCAAAAAACAGCTACCACTAGTTATCTCAAGTTGATATGCAATATCCTTTCACACAAGTCCTCTTGAAAAGCCACGTGTATATCAGGTATACATATCGGGCCAAATGAAGATCACAAGATATTACTTACTATTCGCTAGCTCTTCCATTTGTGCTGCTGTTTTTGATTTCCGTCGTCTAGGAGTCAGTCTTGCTTCATCAGCTTTGGATTTTGACATCCTGCTTGATGTTTCAGCATCTCTTGGCGTGTCCGGCACGGGTGGAGTTACTCCTGCGAGTTGCGCGATTCGTCCAAATTGTGGAGTATGATTTTCATCGATTCGGACCTGTACGCGTACCAAGCTTTGTTGACCAGGTGTTGTTGGAGTCTCAGGGATAGAAGTGGATGGGTATGACTAATGAAAAGAAGAAAGAAATTAAAGTCAATGGAACTGTGTAGTTTTGATGAGTCGGTATAATCACTTGATAAAAAATTGTAGCAATTTTTAGATAGCGCCTATAATTCTTACTCTAGCGACATACGATGTATTAATGACATTGTGAGTTTGAAGCGCGATTTCTCTCTTTTTTACCGCGCAAAAAAAAAAAAAAAAAAAAAAAATCTTTCAAGAAACAGCTATCAAGGGCATCTAACCCAAGTGTGTCGGATCTTGTATAAGAAAATCCAAGTGACTTATGCATTGTCAACATGGCGGCAACATTATTTTTTTCTGCGAAAATGTACGGGGGTCAAGCCATTTTTGTATTTGCAGAAAACCAGTCATAATCTTAAAAGTATATTTAATACCGATGGCGCTGTTGTAGCTCTACTTGGATCCGACTGCTTGCTTTCACTTTTTTGCTCAGCTGCTTTAGACGGCGACTTTGACTGATTTGATTCCGCGCCATTTGTCTCTACGACACCAGCTGGCGTTTCTATCACAGATTCTTTGGGTTGTAAACTGTGAAACGACTTTGTTTGCTTCATGACTAGTGATCTAACGCAGCTATCGTCTCCTTCTTCGCCTATTGCTGGGAGTCTGAAGGCTTTTGGTCGATCAAATCTTGCTTTTGGAGATACTCTGTCTTTTGTATCCCATATTTTGAGCTCCAGAGAGTGATCGTACAATTTAAGGAGAAGGTCTTTTGTAATCGTTAACTTGTGACTGCAGACAGAAGAAAAAATTAAAAAAAAAAATAACTGGTTTGATTTTGTACTGGTTTGATGCTGGCCCCTTATTAGTGTTGCTAAAGACACAACTTGGTCTAATCAAGGTACAGTATGCCACAAATGAAGCAGGGGTGGGGTGGAGGGCACTTGGTCTGCTTTTGAAACGAACCACAAACCATGACCATATCATAGGCATGAAATCTTTACATCAACATAAACCCTAATGAAAAACATCCCCGTAAAGTGGCTTGATAATGCTCAATAGAACATTTCATTTTTAGGGGAGTCAGAATGGCATGTGGTAAAATGCTCGCCTCTTACTTCTGACGTCCAGGGTTCATATCCCAGTTGCCCCAATGTAAACTGTTGGTTCTCCTTCTGACTCTGAGGGTTTTTCCGGCTCTCAGGGTTTTTCTCTCTCCTTTCAAATCAACTCTAACTAATTCAAACTGGTTAGAGATGTGCTCTGGGGTTATACATGGACTCGCTGGTTAGGGGCGCCTCCAAAGGCACCTTCACATGCTTTCTGTTAGATCCTGTGAGCTGCACCACTTGGGGTGGTGATTAGCGATGACAAGGTTTTTTTATTTCTATTCCAGACTGTTAAACCAGCTTAAAACTTCAATACAAATTTTATACCTATCTAAGGCTTCAGCCTCATAACAATGTACTCCATCTGGTGGTCAATCTCATTTAAACTATAGATTAGTATGAGTATCCCCTCCCCCTCGGGTATTTGGGCTTTGTATTAATGAATAGCATACCTGTGAGTCCAGGCAACCCAAGTCTTATTCCCTTCTCTCCATGTTTTCAAAACCTTGGATTCATTTTCCATGTATATCTTTGCAGCAACTCCATAAGTTACAATATCAGTCTTGATTGGCTCTACATCATCGGGTAACAGTTTGTACTCAATGTGGAAGTAATGATGAGGTTTGGGTGCTTCGTATACACGTCGGCGTCCCTTAATACCACCAATTCCTTTAGTGTTAGGTTTGAGGATTTCTTCTTCAACTGAGTGTACACATAAAGAGGGTATCTTGTTAATTATCTAGAAAAAATGTGTCCTTCTCCCTTTCCCATTTATGCCCCCCACCCCCTCTCCCCTCCCCCCTTTTCCTTCACCTCTCCCAAAAAATATCACATCTTTTAAAAAAAAAGCCTGTTATATGAACCTGTCTTCCACTGAGTGTGCATGAAATTAGCGTCAGGGGGAGGGGAAGGGGTGCCTCAGCCCACTGGAAGGTGATGTAAGAACAACGCTCAATTCTCCTAATGTCGTTCATAATCAATCATTATCATATTTATGATATTTATTATCACATCATATAAAATGGTTATCGATAAATAAATCATAAAATCTGAATAAAACTAACCTGTTGGAAATGCTTTGGCTACGGTCAAATTCAAAGTAACTTTGTGTTGTTCATCAGACATTTTCAATTTTCGTTTAAGTTTGTTTCCGCAGTTTTAAGGTTTTTTGTGTGTGTTTGCTTGTCTCGGATGCTGGCGAGATAATAAAGCAAAAATTGTTTACAGAGAGTTATAGGCTTCTGACTTAGCGTTTAGCTTGCTGGCTTAAACACTGAGGGTCTAAAACTTCTACGCCGATCTACTTTTCTTCAAGCTCGAAACAGCAACAGAGCTTTAAATAAGAAACTGACAGCTTAACTTGGTAAATACTCAATCCTATAATGTAACTGATATTAAAGGAAAGCTACGCTTTAATTCCCTAAAAATAAGAAACAAAACAAGCTTAATGTTGACGCCGGTCACTAAGATAGTAGACTGAAAAAGGCTTACTTACTTTCTTTTTTATTGTAAAATTCTTTGATCGATTTTCACAGTTATGGGCATCGATGAACATTGTGAAGTCAAAAAGGTAGAAAGATTTGAGATCGGCCTTTCCTGGAGGCATTTGACTTTTGTTGTAATATAGTGTTGCTAGGTTTTCAGCCATCGAACAATCGATCATATTGATTATGACATCACTATGAGCCCACGAACAGCTGAACAGCAGCTGTTTTACCATAGTACTTCATGTACTTCGCTGATAATGACTTCAATATCAATAATAAATATTTTAAACCCTAAAATACTAACTTTAAACGCATACACTTAACATAATGCGTTTTAATAAATACCTTTTACGCTAATACCCAAAACTTTTCAAATTTTCCTTTAGATATATTGGAAATCTTTTATCGTTGCAAGAATACATGAGGTTTTTTCCTTTTAAGGTCGTTGCTTAGTTACGGAGTATTAGTCTCCTTGGATGTTCAGAATGCTTTGTTCACGGTGACAAAATTCCCTCAAAAAATGAAAAATTCAGTTGTTAGTGATAATGGTTTGGCTAAAACAGACTCAAAGCTTACAGAGGAGATGCTAGAGTCTACTTCTCGTATAAGTATAGTCGAGAAAGTTAATTCTGAGGTTCAAAATGTGGAGAGTGAAATGAGTAATGTAGTGGATGAAGGACAACAAGGAGAAACCAAAACAATTGAAAGCAGAGAAGAAAGCTTTGAAGAAGAAGTGGTAAATACTCTCAGGAGCTTCTATATTATTTCTAGATATTCTTAAGCTTGCATAGTGCACAGTAAGATGAAATTTTCGCCGTATTTACCGCAAAATAGTCCTTTCGTCTTTTTGAAAAATGCTGTCGTCCTTTTTTACACTGACAGTCAACTCTCAACTAAGCTTATATCAAAATATTTCTTTTTCTCTAAAGCCTTTATTGAATAATAGACTGACATGTGATAAGAATATTGCTATAATTATTGATGTTGAATATTCACTACTTAAACTAATGAAATCCTAATTTATAAAATTCTAACTTCTATGTTGATTGCATGAGCTTATAAGCTCATATTAATGCCATATCAAAAGAATTTGACAAACTGAATTCTTTTGTTGTTGTATATTTTCAAACATGGAAGTCATGTATTATTTTATTCTCTTGGGAATGCATTGTTGCCGAACCAAGTACTGTATAGCAGAAATGTGATTTTTTTATTTCCCTGTGTTGGTCTAAAGGTGTCTGTGGAGTACGTAGGAGGGCTGTCAGACGACATGATTGCCGATGGGCTTTCTCAGCTTGGAAGGTCTGCTGATGGCACACTGCAAGTCTTTCTTACTCTATTTCTACCAGTAAGTGTTTAGTCTTAGCCAGTCAAAAATCAAGGAAAGCAATAGAAATCAAATTTCCTGTTGGCATTTTATTTATAAGGAAAATTTTAGCATGAAATTACTAGTTATCAATATCAACATGAAAAGTATAGGATAAAAGCTGCAGATCCGATGTGGAAACATTTTTGCGATCCAAGATCCAGTTATTCCCAGTCTAGTCCAGTCCATAAATATACGGTTCTAGATTTTTCAAAAATAAAAAATAAATCAAAATTCAGAATTTAGAAGCACAAATTAAATCTTAGAGGTTGGGCATATTTTTGCTATACATAAAGATTATCAATATCCCTTAAAAACTGAAAATTTTGTATTCAATAACATTTTTCTATCTGAAGATCTAGTTCCATGTACGGTTCTGAATTTTCCAAAATGAAAAATATCTCAAAATTCAAAATTTAGAAGCACAAATTAAATCTTAGAGGTTGGGAATGTTTTTGCTATACATAAATGTTATCCATACCTTTTCAAGAAAAAAAAAAGAAATCCAAGATCCAGTTAACTGACTTCCAGTCCAATCTGTCAATGTACAGCTCTTGATTTTCCAAGGTCAAATTTCAAAATCATTCTAAGAAAGAGACATTGTATGCATAAAATACATAGTCTAATAAAATTATTCTTTATAAATGCAGGGGTGCAATTTGACAGGCATTGAGCCGCTAGCAGAATTCACTTATCTACAGAGTGTTACACTCTCTTATAATTCATTAACAGGTAATTAGGTCAATATGATATTCATTATGAGTCACAATGCCGTTTGTGTCCACCCATGAGTTAATTAACACAATACAGTATATTGTGAAATGCAGGTGTCATTGCTATTGCCTCTCACCAATACTACCCAAGTCCAATCCTCAGACTCAACATATGCCAGTAGAGTAGAGTTGTTTGTCGGTTCTCTCCTGTGCTTCATGGGTTTTTCTTCCTCCCCAAAAATCAGGTTTTAAATTCTAATTTGATCTAAAAAGGGCAAAGATGAAAATTACCCTGTGTACATGTAAATCTAATTAGTCCTATTAATTGTTTCCTTTATTTTTTGACAGATCTAACACCCCTTGGAAACATGCCTAACTTGATCTTCCTTGATGTATCTCATAATAAACTTACTTCCTTGCTGGACTTCAAGCCACCACTAGCCATAAGGGTATGAATAATTTGGATGTATTTGGGGATTATATATATGTCATGCTTTTGTCAATGTATCAAATTTTGTATCAATTTTCGAATATTATCTTTACAGGAAGTGAACTACTCTTACAATGAAATAACTGAAATACCTGATCTCTCTGCATATCATTCACTTGTCTGCCTCAATCTGGATTGTATCCTTTGATAACCAAAGTTATCTATAATTTGTTACGGGAAGCTTTTGCAAAACTTTTAGCTCTGTTTTCCCTGAGCTCTCTGGTAATTTCCTCTCCCCAAAACATCAACTTCTAAATTCCAGTTTTCTGAATTTGGACTGTGGTATTACTTGGATTTGATTTTAAATTACCATATGAAATGAAATTATCATTAGTAATGATTTTCCTTGACTCAATAACCCAACAGACAACAGAATAACGGAAATTCAAGGACTAATGGAGTGTCATAACCTAAAACACCTCAGCCTCATGCACAACCAAATTGAGAAAATAGCTAACCTAGACAATTTACCTTTACAAACTCTTGATTTGGTAAGCTTTTTCAAATCTGTTTTTTAACAGTGTGTAGTGTCAGCATTATCCATTTTCAGGTTTACTTAGGGATGGGATACCTGTATGCATAAGCCTCTGGATGGCCACAGGGTTCCCACTTGAAGTTTCCAAGTTTTTTATAAAAAGTGCAGTGTCAGCATTATCCATTTTCGGGTTTACTTAGGGATGGGATTCCTGTATGCATAAGTTTCTGGATGGCTACAGGGATCCCACTTGGATTACAATGTTGCCTGCAGTGTAGTCTTGATGTGCTATTTTGTGTAATCTTTAGAGTTACAACAAGATCAAAAAGATTGAGAATCTGGATACACTATTACATATACAGGTCAGTGAGTCCTTTAAACCAAATTAAAGTAACAGTGACAGTAAGATATATTGACAGTGAAACTAATTATTTACGATCATCTTCTTCTTTAGAAACTATATCTGGCCAAAAACAATATAAGAAGTATGAAAGGTTTGCAGAACCATCCTATCTTACAAGATGTAAATCTTGAAGAAAATCAGGTAATCTCATAATCTGAAATATGTAACCTCAAATATAAAAAAATGTGTGTACTTCACTGTGCATGTAATTAACATCATTTTGCATGTTGCAACCTCAGTGTGCATGTTTCAACTTCATGCATAGATGCAATCTGACTGTGCATTTTGCAACATCATATATTATGCATATGCATAGATTCCATAGTGATATGCAAGCCCATAGTACCTCACAGCACCTCATGGAACTTACTTAACCATGTGCACAAGCTATTAAATAAACCGGGAATAAGAGAAATCTTTTAACTCTTTCTTACAGATTATTGACATAGCAGAAGTCAGATATATCAGGGAGCTGAAGCTTTTACGAAACCTAAATCTTTTACACAACCCACTTCAGGTTAGATTCTGTTTATGATAAGTGTGTGTTGTCATGAAGCAATGTACTCTTGCCGCTTCAGACAACAGCGAAAGTCAACAATTGTTGGAACTGGCAAGTGTCAGTAACGGTAAAAATAGTTTGTAGGGATTTGGTATGAACAAGGTAACGTCCGTAAGTGGTCAGCAAAGTAGCGTAATGCCGGTAATGTAGTGTATAGCCTCGGTAGCTGGTCGGCAATGTAGCGAACCGGTAATGTAGTATATAGCCTCGGTAACTGGTCGGCAATGTAGCGTAATGCCGGTAAAGTAGCGTATAGCCTCGGTATCTGGTCGACCATGTTTAGGATAGTGGTTGATCAAACACTTACCGACCACTTGTCTTACCGCGCGCAAGGTTCCTTATAGTTGTCCTTATTTGATATTGCAGGGCATGCCAGACTATCGTCTATCCATGATATATAGGATACAATCACTTACAGAGCTGGATAGAGTCAAAATCACTCCAGATGAAAAGGTACAACAAGTAGTATTGTCAAGGAAGGCCTCATACCAAGTAATATTATTCTAATCTCACAGCATACCATAGGGTGCTGTGTAATCATTGAGCATTCGCAATCATTCCTGTGATGCCATTCAATTGTTGTATGACAAAAAATCTAAATTATCATATGACCCGTACGGCCCTGCTCGCGCGCTCTTATAAAACCATTGGAAAAAGTCACGTGATGGGGGCCGGAGCCGGAAAAACCCGTCCGGCCCTGCTCGAATCCGCGCGCTTTCTTTTTCTTAATTATTTTTATTTTCGTGAGGGTCATATGATCAAATGCTTATTGACTGAGTTAGGTCGGGCCGTACGGGAGAATATTTGGCTCTTGGTCATTTGTACGGACCTCGAGCCAAATATTTTCCCGTACGACCCTCCCACTCAGTCAATAAGTACATAGAACGAGGAAAAATCTAGCCTACGTGCAGCCGGACTTCCTATCGTATAACCCACGGTTACGTTCGGCTGCATCATGCACACTCGGGAAAATCTTGAAGGAAGAAACTATCTGTAAATTCGATCTATTCATGGCTTAGTTGATCGATTGTCTCATTGATGATTTTCACGGAGGCCATGTTGGAGGAACTAGACAAAAGAATTGTCAATGAATTCTGTTGTTATATCCTCCAACATGGCCGCCGTGTCTTTTGTYATTTAATTCTCTTGGGAATGGTTGAAAACCATCAATAGATTAATCGATTGGTTGATTGTTTGCTTGATTGATTGTCAGGTGGCAGCCATCAACCTTTTCAGTCCTCCAGCAGAATTGATAGCATCACGTGATCACATGCTTCATGTTGTAAGATCATTACTTCAGCCAACAAGAATATATGACAGGTATGTTATCAACTGATAATAATCATAAATTATTAATCATTTGTATTAATTGATTTTCAATCCAAGTCTTTTTTAGGGCGGAATGGCAGTCATCGTCATAAAAACAAACAAACAAGCACTCGATTTTAGACACAGTTTCAATGCGCGTTTGAACATTTTGATATAATTGCACAATATAAAATAACAAATTAATAACACCTATAAATATTTTTAGTACTCTACCAAGTACCGATACGCCGTACCCCATGTTAGTCCTGTGCGGCCCTAGTGGATCTGGGAAGAGATCATTAGCTAAGCGATTGTGCCAAGACTTTCCAGACTTCTTTGGTCTTGGGTAAGTTTCTCCGACCTTTAAAGTACGCTCGTCCCATGGGATTTTGTTTGAAATAGAATCAGCCAATCAGTGGCTAACACTTAAGTTTCAAGTTCACTTTCGCTCAGGGTTAGCCTCGATTTTGTGTAGAATATTCTTGTGTTCGAATTAACGTCCTTGAAATTTCAAAGTGTTTGTATTGTTTGTTGAAGTTGTGCATTCTTTACTTTACCGTTGGTATTTGTTAATATTTAGACATTGATGCGAGACTAACCCTGAGTAAATGAGTCTGTAATAAAGGAATACAGCGGTAATTTGAATCTCGAAAATGATCTATTCGTTCAGAAGTACGTACCTGGCTTGTCCTTACACTAAATGACTCTTCATTAATTCGATTTTTTTTTCTTTTTTTCAGAGTTTCACATACCACACGCCCTCCTCGAAAGAAGGAAGAGAATGGAGAAGATCATTTCTTTGTGACAAAAGAAGAATTTGAAGCTGATGCAATGTCGGTCAGTAATCAATTAATTTGTTTATCTTAAATAAGTTTAAACATTTCTCTAGAAAGGGCAACTCTGTAGCTCTTGAGTCTGAGAAGTCTCCCCCCCCCTCCCCTCCCCCATATCCCCCAGATGGATAATCCACGAACGAGACTTTCAACATTCCTTCCCCCACCCTTAAGCTAAGTTGCAAAGGTGCAAAAAAGCGTCTAAATTGAAAATTCTTCAATGGGTTAATGAAATTACGAGACTTGAACTTCCGTTAATAACAGCATTCCTCATATATCCCGCTGAAATCCGACAACAGGTCGCATTTATATAAAAAACTATTTAACGTTACCATGATTGTTTTCTACTCGTAGGGTAAATTCTTACAAACGTGTCAAGTGGGAAGCTATCTGTACGGTATCACCAGAGATGCAGTGGAAGAGGTTGCAAGGGAGGGACTGGCTGCAGTACTTCACATGGAGTTAGAGGTAAGTCTGTTTACAATAGACTACTTCGACGATACGGCAACCATCTTAGACCGCAAGGCATTATTGGGCGTCCAGGGGGCAAATGAAGCTTTGCTACAGTAATGACGTCGATTGATATTAACAGCCCTTCACAAGAGAATACAAAAAATATGAATTAAGACGGCATACCGATCACCCTTACCCATAAAAGAAAGACACACGAAACTCTATACATTTTCCGTTATCTTCGTTTCGGTTTTTTCCTCCTGGCAAGATAACCGCCGCATAGTCGAAGTATAGTACATAGTATAAATGTGAAATTAAGAGCCGGAAAGTCTAACATCGGGCATGTCTTCTTTAATTTCTTTCTTTCTTTCGCCCATTAGTTCATTAATTCACTATTCTTTCGTCGTTCATTTGTTCTTTTTCTCATCATTCATCTTCTATCTTTAAAGGGAGTGCTAAGCTTCAAGAACACCTACTTCGAGCCCAGATATATACTTATCGTTCCAGTCAACCGTAAGGTTAGTGATATCTATGTGTATTTCAGTCTCGTAACATTACTGATGTTAAATAGATTTTCATTACGACGATACGCAAATGTAGAATGCCGTTTCTTCATTTCCTAGTGGATGAGGTTTCTTACTCCACTCTTTTAGTGCGTAACATGCACACTGGTGCGTTATGGAAACTCTATCTAATGTTATGTTTATCTGTTGTAGATGCATGAGGAACGAATGTTTGAGCGTGGCTATTACACAGATTCCCAGATACACTACACTTGTGATCGGGTAGAGATGTACCTATCAAAGCACAGAAATAGCCCTGGATTCTTTGACATGGCTATAAACTCTGGTAAGAATACGACAAAAATAGTGACAAAGTGTATTCCTGAAGCCATTTTGATATTTCAATCGGCATCTGACTGTCCTTATATTCAAATGGGGGTGGATGCATGGAAGGGATAACGGTGCAAGGTGCATGATGATAATGATGATGATGATGCCTGATGATGATGATGCCTGATGATGATGATGCCTGATGATGATGATGATGATTTTAATGATGATGAAGATGATGATGATACCTGATGATGATGCTGATGATAATGAAGAAGATGACGACGACGACGATGAGGATGACAATGACGATGACGACGACTACGACGACGACGGCAATGATGATGATAATGTGTATTAGTGTGGACGATAATGTATGATTGTGTAGATGATGCTTGGTGACGCGTATATTGATGCCTATACACTGACCATCTTAATACGCCTTTCTTCCAGACGATTTAGGAGAAGCTTACAAACGTCTCAAGCGCCTTATCATAGAATACTTGGGCATGACTCCTCCAACAACAACGGAGACAAACCTGTACAGCACAAGCGATGAGACGTCAGTAGATACAGAGGAATCATATCCTGTTGGAGTTAAATCAGGGACAAGTAATACAAGTATGACCATTACACTAGCGGCAAGAACCTGGTCACGACCTTCTGGCTCGTCTAACGTCAAAAATAAGACCAGTACTGCTGAGAATAAAACACCCGTGGTATGTTATTAGTAAAAGTATGTTTCAATAGTTGTATGACATGTCACGACAAACTAAAATTGCGCACGCTTTAATTTATCAAGCCTTGACCGTAACCGTAACCTGTACGACTAACACCCGTGGTATGTTATAAGTAAAAGTATATTTCAATAATTGCATGGTCATGTCAAGACAAAATTCGGCGCAGCACAAAGACGTGCGCGCGCTGCGATTTTTCAAACCGTGACCGTAACCGTAACCTGTACAATCAACACCAGTGGGATGTTATTAGTAGGAGTATATTTCAATAATTGCATGGCCATGTTAAGACAAAATTCGGCGCCGCACAACAAAGACATGCGCGCGGTTTGATTTGTCAGACTGTTACTAAGCTGTGACCGTGTCGTTTGCCGTGGCATGGTTTTTAGTTAATAATTTCCATCTGTCCAAATTTACTAGAAAAATCTCTTTGCTTAGTTCATTCGCGATATTTTCTACAGGGCGAGTTATTGCCAGCTGCTTGTGAGGAAGGATAGTCTAATTTCTATAGGATGTACTTTATCTTACAATTGGTTCTTTGCGAACACAAACTTTAGGCTGAACATTTTTTAGTGATCACTCGATGCTCATATGTTTGTCTCCTGGATGCTTTTGTAGGAAGAGCTCTCATTACTTCGTCGTAAGAACCTGGCTAAAGCAGCCGTAGCTGGCGTCCACGTACTCAGCCTTGATGATCTTATTCTAACCAGGTATTTTATTGATATGTCATTTGTTGTATGGGTATAGATGGAGAAACAAAATCATTTAACTGAAAACAATCCCTTAGTTCTTCTGACTTGAGGCCTGAGGGTTGTCCTGGCCCGTGTTCTTAAGAGTTGTATAATTGTTAGCCGTTTCAGAGCTATTTATTATCGATTATTATTGTATTATTAGTCTGTTTAGAAGGACACTTCATCAATCAGTTGACATTTATCCACCGAGAAACGAAAAACAAATCTTAGAATTAATTCGCCAATTAAGGTTTCCTATTACTTACTATTCACCTTTCACTATTAGCAAGCAAAAAAAGACGCCTAGCTCATCCAATCAAAACGCCGCATTGATGAGAGACCACTAGTTGGATTTGATTAACGTAGGATATTTACCTCCTCCCCTCCCCCCCACTTCTTCGACCGAGCTTTTTTATAATATACTCTCCAAAGGCTTGCTGGTTACCCATCTAGTAGATGGCTATATTCTTGGATTAAGGTTCAAACTGATCAAGACCTTTTTGTAGGCAAATCAGCTCTACAGGGTTTCAGGACTCATCTGTCAATGCAGACGAAGTGAAGCGGGCATCTACCTACCCACTAGGGTACGATACTTCATTCGTCTCCATGGCAGCAAACGCAAGCAGTGAACAACAAAGAACAGACTCGAACGAATCAAACTCTGAGGACGAGCAGACGGAAACCTCATCGCTCATGTCATCAGCGCGGGCATATTCTGAGCGGTTTGAATCTCATTCTGTGGATGAATCAGCCGAGGATCAAGATGAACAAGACGGAGGGACGATCGATGTCATGAGACTAGAGTACGGATCCCAGGCATCCGAATCTGTCGCGTTGTCTGCGGGCATGGAGCAGATACATGATGCTAACTCCATTTAAAACGTTGCTGTCTTTTCTGCATGAAAAGTGATGGCGTTCATTTTAGACTGACTTGTACAAAGTGCAAAGTTTTTCTGCGCTTGACCGAAAGATTCGTGGAATCAAAAGCTTGCGATATGCGCCGTTCGTCTCTTCTCTATCCTAGGTCCCCTTTAAAAATACGAGACAGTAATCTAAGTAAAAATGTCATGTCTTTTATTATTACAACACGATTAGTATGGAAAATGGCGAATCTCATTTTTCAGCAGTGAGGAAGGGGCTGCATAATAATAGTTATATTGATTTTTCTACATATGGTGGCAATTTCTAAATATTTTTGGAGGGAATTGACTAGCAATCGATGGGATCTTACCACCGGAAACTAGACTGCTTCATAAGTCGTGGTTTTCGCTTCTTTATGGGTTGTGGTCGCGCAACTGCCCACGGTGTGTGAGCGATATTTAATGAATCGACAAAAGAGCTAAAACACCAATTTATGGAATCAGTATACACCAAGAAAAAAACAATGGAATTTTACATGTTTTCCAGGAATTCCAGAAATAGTGTAAATAGGTGGGTTTGAGTTTCAGTCGTCAGTCCAATACTCTTCAAAGAAGTCTTGTTCGCGTTTTCATTACAAGAGCTTGGCATAATACTTTTACAGATTCAGTCCAACACGCCGGAATTTTAGAAAATTTCCAGGAATTCTAGGAAGTTACAGTACTAACTCTATATTGGTCGTTCAACTCTCATTTCCAGTGATCCTCATGAAATCATTGTTTCTAACTGGTTTCCACTTCAACAGTTTGGCATACTTCTTTAATAGTCTTTTCCAGTAACACCGTATATCTGGCATTCTCAAGTGCTCTTTGATAAACGTGTATCCCCTGGAAAGATATAATAGAGGACTAAAGTTACTAAAGGCCCCGTCTAAACGTATCGGGATATTTTTGTAAACGGAATTTTTTTATTTCTTTTTTTTCATTGTCTTTGAAAATTGCACACTGTAACATCAACTCTCTTCCTCTCTCCGCCCTAATCCCCCATGAAAAAAAACCCCAAACAAACAAAAAAAACAAACAAACAAACAAACAAACAAAAAAAAAACAACAACAACAAAACAAAACAAACACATGAGAACGCCTGGCTACGCAGGATAACCTTAACTGCGTAACAACAAGTCTTTAGCAAACTTGAAATCTTACCTTTCGGCGATCTGTTGCGCAACATTGTCATTAGCTATAGCAAACTCTAAGAGATCCCTGAAAAGCGAAAACAAATGCGTTTCTATACTTTTTATTTGATACATACCCAGTTTGGTGCGATGCGTGCATATGGGGAAAGTAGGGGAAGTATAAGGGATGAACCATTATGGATAACTGAGGGGGATTGCAGTAATTTATGTTTCACGAAATTTTTTGTAACAACCACTGCAGTATAATTTGTTTGTGTGTTTGCTCGATATTTCTTTACTGAAAGGAGAGGTTGCGCGATATTTTTTGCAGGTGAAGCCGCTTGCTCGATATTTTTTTGGGGGAATTACGCAACCCTCAATCACCTTATGGTCCGTCCCTAAGAGGGTTAGGGAAAAATGTGCACCGCAAGCAAAGCGGAACTTTGCGGTATAACCTTGGGTGGGGCTACTTTCGTATCTCCTGAACAGCAACCACCAGAAAAACTAATCTTTGTTGACTAAATGACTCACTCCTTTCGAAACCTAAAGACATTAGTAAACTTTCGGTTTCATGATATCCGGACATATCAATCAAATTATATATGAAAAGTAATTCTAACTATGACCCTAAAATAGCTTTGTTTTACTTCCAATTAAACATGATCCTTCGTGTGGTTCCTGTTATTCTTGGTTGGCATTTTCTTATCTTTTGTTTGACATAACTCTAGTTTATCTCCTTTACTTGGAAAAGATTACGTGAGAACTAAATTCAGAAGGTTTACGTCACGCGTAAGATTGTTCGATGTGCCTTGGGTATTTTTCTTCATAGAAGAAGCTGAGTTGGTCTTCCTTAAATATATCATGATTTGAGGGATTATGAAATTTCTGAGGTGAGTATAGTTTCCTTATAGAGGCAAAATCTACAGTTTCTGAGATCTGACCTCAGTTTATACCCCGTTTCTGATTTTTTTTAAAAATTTATTTTTTATTCTTTACATAACGTGCGTTTGCGTGCCTTGCGTTTTTATCGAAAATATAAACAGCGAAAAATTTTACTGCGGCCTAATACGAACAGAATTGAAGCGAGCGTATGGATAGTAGGTTTCACGGTTGGTCGGTAAACTCGTTTTTGAAAACTCAGAGGGCAACTTAAATGCAAGAACGACATCTAGACATTAACTATGATCTAGAGGTTTCCTTAGTTTAGAGCCTTACCTTGCATCTGATAGATCTGTCTTGACTGGTATATAATGAACCCAAGGTTTGAGTGCTTTATAAAAGAATTCTAGCCACTCATCGCCTACATGGAATACTAGTGATTTACACAGGAATAAGTGCTTGTAACGGAAACTAGCAGCTACACCCCGAAAATTGAACAAGTATCTGAAAAAGAAATAGAAAAAGATGATTTGAAGCGACATGAAAATTCAATAGAACTCGGTAATTAAACATGGGCTGCGACTTTTGGGGGTATAAAGATCTATATGAATTTTTCTTCTTCCTTCCTCTCTTTCTCCAGACCGGCCCCCCCCTCTCTCTCTCTTTCTCTCTGTCTCTTTCTCTCTCTCACTCTCTCTCTCATGCCAAACATTCCTCACCTTGACCTCCCTCTTGTTCAAACCAAAGCATTCATTTATTTATTTACTTAAGCTGCTCAATAATAAGAACAATGAACAGATAAGTTTGATCTGTTGTGTAAACACAAACCCCCTCTCTTGCAAGTTGCAAAATACATGAGGACTTGCAGATCTTACTTGTGTTGGCAGTGATCTTCTAGTGGGACCTCTTTTGCTGGTGCTTCATATAAGGTATCCTGTCGTGCAATGAATTATCAGTGTAAAAATTATAATTACAAACAATATGAGAAAGGAAGATAATTAAGTTGGCATAACATTTCTCACACCCTCAATTATCCATTCACCCCATTATCCATCTATTCATTCTTGTCCTTCTATTCATTTATCCACTTATTTGCTGCGCTGCATCATTGATTCCATTCGTTTATTCATTCCATTGCATTCAAAATATGTATTCTGTTTATTCACTCCCTGTGTTCATTTATTCATTTATTCTATTCTCTTCATTCCATTCCATTCAATAAGCAGCTTGGACAGAAAGTTGCATACATATGCCAGGTACTAGGACTTACAGCATCAGATTTCCAAGCTTGGTTTTTAGTGTACTTGGCATCAGCTAAGTCTGGATGTTCTCTTGATAGAATAACTAAAGGATCTCTTTCAGAACTTGTCCTAAAAATGAGCAAACAAATATTTGTACTCTTGTTATCATGATAATCCTCTAATAAGAAAGTATACGTATAAAATCTTCGATACATCTGTTTGGTCAATTTGATACATCTTGGTTTTGATACGTAAGTCTAGCAGGTTTTCCTGATTTTTTTTGGCCCTTTATTCTTTACATCAACCAGTAGGTTTTCTATGCCTATAGATTGTGTGGACCTTTTAATACATCTAAAAAAGTCTTCAGAACATACATCTATTTCCAAGGGCATACATTTTAGGTGACACATCTTTTCCTTGCCGTTCATTTTGACCAGTTGAAAAACATTTTCAAGTCATAAAGAAGATATTATGCTTCAGTTAGTTTGGTCAGTCACCATGATATGACTGGTAATGGTGGGGGGGGGGGGGTACTGCCTTATATTCGCTATACGGGTACGTGCCGCCAAACCGGATATGGTTTTCAGCGATTTTACTCTGAAACAGGGTATATAAAATCACTCTTGTTCTGAGACAGGGTATATGAAATCACGCTCTCTCCTCTCTTGAACAGGGTATCTATTTTCGCAATATCAGAACAGAGTATGGTTTTCAGCAATCTTGCTCTGAAACAGGGTATGAATTTCAGCGATTTTACTCTGGAACAGAGGTCAGGGTTCAGAGGGCTCAGCAGCACATCCCTACTCTAAACGGGCAAGTGTACCTCCCCCCCCCCCCTGTTGGATAGATCGGCCAGACAGCTGGCCCC